ACGAGCACGAGCTCGAACGAATGAACGCCCACCCCTCGAGGGTGCCTCTGAGGGGGTGAGCGTACGAGAGTGAGACGAAAGCCCAAAGCAACGTGTAAGACGCTTTCGCGTCCGAACACGTGGAAAGATGTGGGTCCGGATGTATTCGATATCCGACCCGAACGTGAGCGCCAAGCGCGAGTTGCCGAGAGAGGTCGCGCGAGTAGTCTCGAGCGCGAACTCACGAAGCAAATATTCGAGAGAAAAAGCAAGAAAAAGCAAGAAGATAGTATTGATGATGATCCGCCACCATGCGGTGGCCTCGTGAATATATACATAGGAAACGGAGTTCGAACCTAACTTCTACAACTATATATCTGAGTAGACCCGGGACAGCGGCCTGAGGATGTAGTGTGGCCCGAGGCGCCACACGAGCGTTCACTTACTCCGATCGTGTGGCCCTCGACAAGAAACCAAGAAGAAAAGATAGAAAAATAATCCTAGACTTATATAGAGTGTTACAAACCCCCCCCCAGCCTCAAGTTGCTGTGTCGTCCTGGTCGTCTGCCTCTTCTTCCTCCGGATCTTCATCCACGACAGGAGCGTCCGCTTCTACAGAAGTCTCGACGATTGGATCCATAGGAATTCGATATAAACGACCCAGATGAGGTACATCTCGAGCAATGTCGGCGGCCCAAACGGCCGAGCCCGTGCCACTTGGTTCACGTCGAGGTGTACGCGCGCTCCGAATGATATCCCTGTACCAAAGGTTCTCCCGTAGCAATACGTCTCTCTCGCCTTGTAGAGCATTAAGTCGACGCCTAAACCATCGTTCGGTTTCCAACGACCACTCCCCGTCCCACATAATGCTACCAGGGCCCTCGAAAACCGTAAGGGATGGCCATACACTGGTTCCATTATCCGTCATTCCTACCAACGCGTTGACTTCCTGCTCGCTGAGATGATCGGTCGTAGAAGGAACTGGTAGCGGATATGTTCGGCCACGCCGGTACACTGTAGCTATATCCGACGGACCTCGTACTGCAGCCTCCATTAGAGTCATGCTTCCGTATTCGACCGCAATCCGCCACAGAAGCCCTCCACTATGTAGAGCTCTTATGGCATTCGGACGGCTGAGCACTTCCTGAACAGCCCACAGATAACTGGCCATAATATTCCCTGGTTCGTGATTCCACCATTCTGTGACTGGATCTGTGTGTACCCATGAAGGAGGAACAGGCGCGTCCGCGACAGGAATAAGGTCCGCCGTTGGCACCCTCCATTCAAATGGAATTCCAGTCCCAATGGCGTGGAGCAAGAACTCTTCCCAGCTATTCGGTCCGTGACGATGTCTCCAATCAGCGGCGCGTATGGCGGTCAATGCGCTTAAGTATAGGAACCCTTCACGAAGAGGAGTTACGCGATGAGGAACTATGAGAGCACGCGGTGGTTCTCCTCGCTCAAGAATAATCTCTGCCGTAGTTCGCACCCGAATGACATTCCGTATTTCCTCGAGACGCGCGAGGCTACCCGTCCAGGGCCAGTATTCCGAATTAGAGCGCGGCTGAGCGAATTCCTCCTGTACTGCTTCAGGAAGACTGAGCACTCTGTCTGGTTCCTGTATCGAATCTTCTAGCCGGTCCTCCAAAGTTCGTCCGCCGAGAAGATGACCATCCTTAATGCGCTGTCGAAGAGAAACATTTTGGCTTTCGATTCCCAGGCGTTCCCGTAAACTAGCTACTGGTGGGTGCCACTCAGCAGCCTCGTCTATGCGGTTACCCTCCGGGTGCAGATCCAACCGGCGAGTTTGTTCCTCCAAGACCCGATCTTCTTCTTCGCGGCTAACCCTCTCTTCAGAGGACGAGTTTATTTCCGGTACTGAACCCCATGTGCTATTACCTCCCCATCCCGAATTACTCTGGTTTTCCACCATATTCATCCAACCGTCTATTGTTGTCTCGCTTGTACCCCAGCTGGGCATGGTTGCCGAGAAATTGGTCCTGGGATGAGCAGATTCCGGAGGAAGATAAATGCGGAAAGGTTCTTGATGAGGACGAGAAGGAGGAGGGGGAATAGGAGGAAGAGAGTCCTGATGCACGATGGAAGGAGGTAGTCGGTGTACAGTCCGCGCTCCTTGAACAAAACCTTCGGGAGGGTTCGTAAATGACGACTCTTGAATAGGAGCTCGATACGGCCTGTACCCACGAGATCGGAATGGACCTCTCGGTCCTCGACTCGCATACGACCCGCGATTTGAAGCGCGTTGCTTGCCTTTTCCTTGGTAAGTACGTTCCTCATCATCCATCCGTCTGCGATCTCTAAATGCACGGGGTTCACGAGGCGGAGAACGAGATCTACCCGGACCTGAGGGTAGTCGCACTCGAGAAGTACTCGCCACTCCTTCCTCAACCTCCATCGAGGGTGCCTCCGATGTGGACTGACGAGAAGCTTCAAGAGCCATGCGTAATTGATCCGCTTCAATTTCCTCTAGGATTTCCTCGTCAACCCGCCCGCTGGCGATATCCAATTCACTCGGTACTGCAGGAGCTTCCGAACGACTCCCTGCAAAAGGGACAGTCGCACTGTCGACTTCCTCATCCGTGAATTCTCCGTAATCCAACAATTCCTCGTCCGAGTCTCTACTGCTGTCGATTACGGGATCAAGCTCCGCAACCGGAAGAGGGACTGGGTTGGAAGGAGGAGACGGGGGCGCGGGGCCGCCACCTGTTGGTATACCGTCTGAAGTGAGATTTAACGGGGGAATCATGTCGAAATCGGGATCGTCGGAAAAAGACTGTTCGATTGGAGTATTTGGTTCTGAAATCCCATCCCATTCATCCAGAATCCAAGACGCTTGGCCTCGCCTAGGGAAGTTCGGTGCAAATTCTAATTCTTGAGCGAGAATTCGCTTCTTCCATCCGAAGGGTTTACCATAACGATACCCCGTACCCTTCTTGGTATCGTCTTTCCTCGAGAAAAGCCAATAACCCCAATAATCCTTTTTCTTATCGATTCCTTCTGTCCATCGACGCGTACGGTTCCGAGGTAATTCTGGACGTAAAGGAGGTGAAGCAGTAATCGGCGGTTGCTCGTCAGGAATTGAGGGTGCCTCTAATTCCTGACTACTACCGGGAATGGTATGTGATTCAAAGGGGGTTTGAATTTGAGCGAGAACCATATCCGGGCTGAGGTGACGAAGAAATGATAATTGTCGAGTTTCTTCATTCCATATCCAATCGATTGGCGCGTTCCGTCGTAAATGCCAACTGATCGAAGGAGTAGCTGCGTCCCGTTGGAACCTTAATACTGTTCCCAAATTCCCCGCTTCGAAAACGTGGTCATTCCTCAACCACGTTAACCAATCGTGAGGCAGCCGGAGTTCGGAGAGAGGTAAACGAGACCAATTTCCCTCCGAGCTCATCAACATCCACCGGATTACGCCCTGCCAATCCCATATCCTTCGCCAAATTTCTTGGATAGCGTAGTTTTGAACGTCGAGAGGGCGCGGAATCCCGATTAACGATAGGGTAGGCGTAAAAGTATCGAATTGAAACCGATGCGTAAGGCGGAAATACGAGGCTAACGCGTGTACGATGTGTGAATATCGATTTATGCGCGTAGTGAGACTCTGGATCGCCGCGGGGGGTAAGAAAACGTATGGCGCGTTATCGCTATCGGATCTCTCCGTCTCCGAGACCATCCAACGAGGGGCTCCGTCTCTCGCAAACTCTTCTCCTAACGCCCTGTCCGCCTCCTGGACACTCCTAGGCCACGCCCTAAAGGCTTCCCAAGGACGAGCAGGATCATACCAACTCCTTGGGAATCGGTATACCCCGTTTCCATCCATGTAGGACACGGGCGTTCCTCTCAACAACTCCCTGACTGCCTCGAGATCCAGTGTAGTCGAAACGACCGTTACTGATCCCATCTCCTCAACGAGGGGTACGTACATGAAGTCATGATATCCAAACAACCACAACGACTGCTCTTGATTCCCCGCAACCGCTTCTCCCAACGCTCGTAACACCGCGTCTCGATCAGGCCCCGCGGGTGCCGCTGAAGCCTGATCCGAGTTCGAATAAGGATTCGGGAAGATTGCAAAAGTCGAAACGAATAGAGTGAAAAACAAAAGAGAATAACAAAGCATAGTGGACATCCAGAGCGACGATAGCGAAGAAGACGAGACGGAGAGTGCAGAAAGACGGAGAGGAACGCGGTCGCCTCGACCGCTGCTTTTCGAAGTCCGACCGGTCAAATGCGGAACTCGAATACGCTTGGGAATACCCAGGCATTCGGCTCCGCCACTTCGCTCATAGGTTAGCTCGTTGGTGATAAGCTGACAAGAGTCGAGGCGCATTCTTGAGTCCCGACCTAGGTTCCCAAGAATCATATTGTGGGGAATATCCTTTCCATCGGATTAGATATTCCAGTCCCTTTCCTCGTCGCCTTTTCCTATGGGCCACAATATCTTCTACTTCGTACTCTTCGGTTGCCACTCGATCCAACCTAGTCTCCGGAAGCTTGGTTCTTGTCCCAAATTCTTCTTCGTCACTGGAGTGATATTTTCTAAGGTGTTCGATGTTGATGACATTGGAACCGGGATACTTGTCGCTCATGTCTAACCGGTATACCTTGCTATTAATTCTCTCTCGAATTGCAAAGGGTCCGATGGCTCGTTGTACCAGTTTCGCTCCAACTCCTTTAGACTCTATCCACTCCAAGGAATGCGGATTAACTAGGACGAGGTCTCCTTCCTCTAGATCGATCTCCTTACGTCCACGATTGTACACTTCGCTCTGACGTACTTGTGCTCGAGCAATGGAATTCCTTGCGCTCTCCCTGTGCATATGCAATTCTTCCGCGAAGGATTTCGCATCGCGATCGTATAGCAACTTCGCCTGCGGAGAAATATCCTTCGAGGGAGACAAATAATCCAACGGCCCTTTCGGCGTAAATCCATACAGGAGCAGAAAAGGGGCGACTCCCGTAGAACCATGAGGGGTTGAATTGTACGCGTGTTCAACAAGAGGTAACCATTTAGCCCAAGATTTTGGTCGCTCCTGCGCATAAGCTCTAAGCATCTGTTCAACCAATTTGTTGACCACCTCAGTTTGACCGTCGTGCTGTGGATGATGCGACGATGATAGAGACATATGCACCGTCAGAAATCTAGCAATTTCTCTCCAAACGTCCGCGGTCTATCGAGGATCCCTATCGGAAACTATATCATCCGGCAGCCCAAACCGACATGCTATATATTTGACAAATAGCATGGCAAATCCTTCAGCATCGAGTCCGGTGTCCGTAAGGATGAATTGGGCATGTTTGGTAAGCCTATCCACAATGACCAGAATGGCGTTATATCCTTCTTCCGTCATCGGTAGTCCTGATATGAGGTCCAGGGAAATGGACGCATACGGTCGTCTAGGAATGGGATTAGGTATCAACTTCCCAAATTTCTTGAAGTTGAGATGCTTAATCTTCTGGCATACGTCGCAAGTCTCGCAAAACCTGAGCACATCGGTCTTCATTCGCTTCCAATAGAACCTTCCACTTAACAACTGCCATAACTTCGCCGCACCTGCATGAGCAGTCTCGAAGGGAGATTCATGTGCTTCAGCGAGGAGGGTGCCTCTCTCACTGATAGGTACACATAGCCTAGGCTGGAAATTAGCGTCTCGAAAAAATAACAGGCCTCGTTCATCCTTGTAAAATCGCTTCCCTGCGTCCCAAGTCGCTACGTTCTCTCCCTTCTGTAGCTCCTTGTACCTCGACTTGTATTCAGGATCTAAGCGATATCCTTTCACATAACGCGCTAATGTATCCGGACCCATATGAACTAAAATATGAGGAGGCGGGTGCCGCTCTTCCCATTGTTTCATACGCGTATACGGATCCAAATCCTCTTCCCCGCTTCTATCGCTAACTTTCCGCTCCTGATCGAACGAACCTTTGACCGGACGCACCGTCTCAGCGTTCAGATGCATTGTATCGTCTAGTTCGTTCCGTTGATTCGAAATATTACGGTCGAGGGTGCCTCTGACTGAAATATTTTCTTCTTCTTGAGATCGAACTGGACTCGCCGAAGGTTGAGGGGCTGAAGTAGAATTAGTAGCGTCGGTCGTACCCCCCCCCAGCTTCTCAGCCTTCAATTGCCTCTCGCTCTCCTTGAACTCCCTCTTGTACTGTGCCCGCGTTCGTAAGTACGCGTTCGCATCCACGTCCTCCTCGATGCAGTCTGTCCAGTTTGAAATAACCACCGTCGCCATCTTCTCCGCCGGTTCGTCCTTCGGAAACGTTCCCACCTCTCGAGTCACTTTCAACGAGGGAGAATCCTCGTCAACGGGCGCAACGTAATCCGGAATGTGAGGGAACAAACGAGAGAGTGGGTCGACATTACTATGAACCCGTCCAGGCCGGTGAACGATCTCCAGTTTAGGTGCATAAGCAGAAAAGACTAAACCCCATGAAGCCAGGCGCCGATTACTTTCCTCGTAAGTTTTAGCCCACACCAGAGCGGAATGATCTGTAATCAACAGAACCTCCTCCCCTTCAATAAACGGTTGAAACTTCACTAGTCCTTCTTTCGCCGCCAACGCCTCCCGTTCCGTGGTATGATAGCGCTCTTCTGCTCCCCTAAATCTCCGGCTCCAGTATGCAATTACCCGTTCAACTTCTACAACCGTATCGTCCAACGTAGACCCCCAAGTTCGGTTCGTGTCGAAGTCCACAATCTTATCCGAGACTTTGGTGACTAGTCGAGGAAGGGCTACACCCTCTTCAAACGCCTTGGATAACTTGTCGTAGGTCCGAGTACCTTTCAAGTCCCTCGCCACTATGTCCTGAACTTGCTGTAGTGTACATCCGAGGCCGTCCCCGGATGCGTCGGTGTACAGACGATATGGTTGACCTTGTATCGGATGCCCTAGAACAGGAGCTTGAGCTAGAGCGAGCTTAATCGTTTCGAAAGCCTTCTCATGTTCCGCTGTCCATTCCATTTTAACACCCTTTTTCGTAAGATCGAATAAGGGAGTGGCCATGGAGGCGTAATGGGGAATGAACGCCGAAAAATAAACGGCCATTCCGAGAAACGTACGAAGTTCGGCAACCGTTGTAGGGCGAGGCAGGTTCAAGATAGTTTCCACCTTCTTCTTGTGCGTAGATAAACCCAGACGTGAAACTTTGTGACCCAGGAGAATGATAGAGCTGTAAAATAAGTGACACTTCGTCGGAGAAAGTGTAATGCCAGCCCGTTCGATAGCGCCCAACACCTTGTCCAAATGATCGATGTGCTCCTCAAACGACTTTGAATACACTACAATATCATCGATATACACCAAACAGAACAGCCATAAGTATGGTGCCAGAATACCCTGCATGACTCGCTGAAAGATCGACGGCCCGTTACGCAGACCAAAGGGCATTCGTTTGAATTGAAATAACCCGAGGTGAGTCCTGAAAGCCGTCTTCTCTACATGATCTGGATCCATTTCAAGTTGCGTGAATCCCGACAATGCATCCAAAGAAGACAGGACTTGAGCCCCGGCCAACGAGCCTAAAATTTCCGACTGACGTGGGATCGGGAATTCATCTGGAGTGGTTACGGCGTTTAATTTACGGTAGTCCACGCAAAAACGAGCCTTGCCATTGCGGTACACGATCACTACTGGTGCACTCCAAGGACTGATCGATGGTTCAATAACACCTTGTTCGAACCAGGTCTTCACCTGTTTATCTATGACCTCCCGTTTTGCTGGTGATGCACCATACATTGGAACGGCGATAGGAACTTGACCCTCCTTGGTTCGAACATGCACTTTGCCTGGAAATTGCCCCAACCGGCCGTCGAATCCAAAAGCACGTTCTCGTCTCTTCAGCATCTCCCATGCGGCATCGTGCAAGTGCTCCGGCAAGTCGCCAACGTCTAAGAACTCCTTCATCCGACTGGACTCATAGATCTCGTTATCGGGTACTTCGGCAGTCTTCGGACCTTGAGGTCCCCCATCCACATCCTGGTCGCGGGTGCCGCTAACCGGATTGTCTGAAGAATTCTCTTTGGTCTTCGGTCCCTTGTCAGCCCTCAACTGTTCGTCGACGAGTGCTTTAATTGTCCAAGCATGGGCCGCCATTTGGGTGTAAGCCGTTTCATCCTTCGCACCATCGAGATAAGTCTGAGGGTCCTTCAGTTCTCCTAATACGTCGCCCCTCCTGATGGTTTTAGGATGTGAGGACAGATTCGCCACCGGAACGAACGGCGAAGTTCTCGTGATTAAAGTAGACGGTATAGCAAAGACCGGAGTGTCCGTGTCTGCTATCGTATACTTCTCCACCAGCCAATCACGATCGTCAATGAAATGTCCTTCAACCTCAACTCGATGAGTACTCCCTGCCTGAATAATCACATCCTTCTTCGCTCTCACTACCGGTATCCCTCCAAGCATACTACCTCGCACTTTCGCCTTGTGTCGTTTAGCTTTCGCTCGTCGATGTGCTGTAGCCTTCAAGAAATACGCCACGTCCGAATTACGCTTGCGTGCTACTAAAGCGTGATCCTTGGGCCTCGGCACTCCAGTGGCTCGCACCGAATGAGCACCTTTCCCAAAGCTAATTCTCGTCCCGTGAACCGCGTCTCTCGTTACACCTACCTCGAAAATCTCATGAAAGTCTTCTCCCAGCAAGATAGGTACCGTCATTCGAGAGACCACATATGCTTCAACTTCCATTTCCAAAATGGTTCCGTCATCGAGAGTTACGAAGATCGGTAAGTTGATAAATCCTTTCACCGAAGTCTCCTCCGAAGTCAGCTGAAGGAGATTAATCTTCATCCCTTTCTTAAGAGGGGGCGGATTTCGTAGTTTCAGATACGTGTCTTCCGACAACAACGTGATATCTGCTCCTGAATCGTACCGTAATGTGACTTCCAATCCGTCGAGCTGCATTAGCCGTCCTTCGGTCGCTAGCACCGAGACACCTTCTGAGGCTAAGCCTGGCATTTGCGTACGACGTCCAGGTACCAAGCGAACTATCTTTGAAGAAGTAGTGGGAACAACTTCTTCCAGCAAAACGTCCTGCTCGTAAGAAATGTGAGATCTCTCCCTGTCCAGAAGAATTTCTTCGTCTTCGACTTCCTCAACGGTCGGTCTAGATGAATAGGTTCTAGGTTCGGGTTCCTCAGGAATCGTAGGTAGCGCGGTTTGCACCCGCATAGATGACTTAAGAGATCGCTCCGAGTAGACATAAGGGTCAATGTGGCTCTGTGCCATATACGCATTGTAACAGTGATCGTACATGGTTTCCTCATCGACTGTACGTACAGGATCCGATTCTACAAATTTCGCTGACCTGACCCTTTTTACCGTCTGTATGTATTCCTTCCAGTGAGGGCAGTCTCTATCCCAGTGGAAACGGCTACTACAAACCTTGCACGGCGAGGGGGGTCCTTGACCTTTACTCTTTACATCATCCCGAGCGGAATACATGTAAGAATCAGGCGGTTTCCTCATACCAGTCCTCTTCTGAAGAATAGCGAAGGTTTCAGCGGCATGGGGATTCTGGAACCAATCAGCCCCTTCAATCGTGTCTGTCGACGTGGGTGCCACAGTCGAGTGATCGTGATTAGAGTCATGTCCGGCCGTTGTAGCGCCTCCGTCGACCGCAGTGTGCGTGTCCGGAGCGCCCCCGTCTTCTCCTTCCACAAAATGAGCATTCCTATTCCGACGAAGTGCCTCTCGTATCAATCCTTCCACTTCCCCTTTGGTCACTCCAACGGATCCTCCCATCTTCGGGCGATTCAACCAATAAGAAAGCAAGACTTGTGAATTATCTTGGACGCGTCGTAGCAAATCATCGGTTGTAACGGCGGGGGCAAGGATATACATCCATTGACTGATGCATCCTCGCAAAACGTTCGTTACTTCGAGTTGACTTCCTTCTTGAATCTCGTCGCCCCAGACGACTCGGGACCACAGCACACGACGACTGATGTACCCAACTGGCATTTCGTCGCGATAACCTTGCTGACGGAACCTCATGTTCTGGAAGTCCCACGTACGTTCCTGTATCCAATCTACGCCGAGGAAATAATTCCTGATCCCAAAGACCCACGACATCCAATTGATTTGCATTTCGTCCTGACGAGTCTGCGAAGAGCTCATCCACCAATTCGAAACAGCCGAGTCGTCCTCCAACCCTTTCCATAGCCATCGACCGAGTTGACGAGCTACTTCAGGACCCATCCGTGAGTACGACTGTACTTTGGCGAAGTACACGATTGCCGTTACCCCGTCGCCATCCCAAGTAGGTAACTTGTCGGGATGGATCTTCTCATCGATGTAAGGTCCACGCGGTCGGCCAAAAAGATCAGAGTTGTTGGTTGGTGGTCCTCCGCCTCCCGGTGGCCCCGGGGGAGGGAAACCGAAAGGGGGAAATCCTCCACCGCCCGGTGGAAATCCTCCGCCTCCTCCTGGTGGTCCTCCACCACCCGGTGGGCCTGGAGGGAAACCTCCTGGAAAGCCCCCTCCACCTCCGGGAGGTCCTGGCGGAAATCCTCCGCCTCCTCCTGGTGGTCCTGGTGGTCCTGGTGGTCCCTGCGGAAATCCTCCCCCTCGGGGCGAACTCGGCGGGGATGATCCATTCCCTCCGGAACCTCGAGGAAGCGTCGCGTGATATCCACTCCCGCTCCCTTCTGCCGAAAAGTTCGGAGGTAATACGTTCCTGCCACTTCGTGAGTCAGAATTGATTTGAGTACGCGACGAATGAGCTTCACTGAGTCCCTCTGGCAGTCCGAGGGGGTGAGCAGGAACAAAACTTCCCGCCGGACGAGTGAACGAAGCTAAATCCTCATGAGGAGGAGCTTCTCTAGCCAGGGTCTGTGTTTGCGCATACGTCTGTTGCACTATTACAGACTCATTCCTCCGACTCGCTAAGCCAAACATCACGTTCGCACTTGAAGTAGGTTCTCCAGTCGTATGTGCTCGATCAACCAGAGCGGGAGCCGCTTCCGATTGCACGGCATGTTGGGCGGATGTGGAGAGAATGTCAGACCTAGAGCCAACAGCCGGTGATGGTTGAGGTTGAGCAATCGTGGGTTGAAACGAAGCAGAAGCTTCCCGGAGGGCGGGTGCCGCACTTCCAGGAGCCACTCCCATCAACGTCGCAACTCCTTGTACATTGGTGGCTTGCGTAACCGGGTTCGATACCGATCCTCTTGGAGTCCAAGGTGGTTGTCGCAAGGAGTTTCGCATCGAAGAAGGGGGCCTTGGATCTCTCGGAGTGGATACTACTATTCCCTCCGTATCTCCTGAACCTCTCCTCGAAGCGCGAGAACTCGACCTAATCCCAATACCACCTGAATCTTGTGAAAACTTGTATGAAGTTGACGGACCAGCAGGTTGTCCCGTCGTGACCGAACGTGGAAACAATCCCAGTGCTCCTCCGGGCGCCACGCTAGACGAAGCTTGATCCGTTGCTAAGGGAGGGTACGCCGCCTCACGACTCCCGTATGGATTCGCAGACGACGGTTCCGTCTTGACGGTAGGTTTATAGTCCGTAGAGTACGATAAAAACGCAGGTGCACGGGTCGGAAGATGAGAAGGAGGTAGTGAGGCTATAGTCGATTGAGCTAACTCTCCTTCTTCCTGTTCCTGACTCCTAAAGAAACCTATCCATTCTACGCTTCCCACCGGATATACCGTTTCGATAGGTAAATCACTCCCCAAAATCGGCTGACGACGAATAGCATGAGCTCTGCGGACTTTCGAGATTAACTGACGAGATTCGGTCGGTAGAAGGTTTGTGTTGAAATTTGCCGATAAGGTATACCTCGCTAGATACTCCTCACTAGGAGCGGTAGCGTCTTCCGTATACAAATCGTTGGCGGTAGTAGCGGGAGAAAATATTCCATGACGGTCAGGGCGATTATTGAAAACGTTGTCGATATATCTTAGCGCTCCGTCTAGACGACTACGGAGAATGTTCCATGCTCGATACACCATGAGATGACTCCTGGAGTTGGTTAGGAAGGCAATAAGTCGACCTTGCCGGTCTATTATTCTAGTCTCACTATGTCTGATATCCCGTAAACGATTCAATACGTCTTGAACGACTTCAACCGCGTCCGACGCATTCTGTAGCAAATCGACCTCTAATCCATATTCCACCTCCACTCCTTCTACGCCCTCGTTCCGAACGTCGACCATCGCTGGGTCCACTAACGTATCCAGGAACGCCTTTACTACGTCGAACTGCGACGTCCCTGTCGGTTCTCGACTATAAAACGCGGTGCATATAGACTGAGCTAATCGTACCTCCGAGGGAGTAAGTCGAGGAAGAGTACGTTGACTTGCTGGAGCCGTCGTGGCCGGCCGAGACAACGATGCGGGTGGAGGGTTTGTGCTGGGAGCAGTAGGGCGGGTGCCGCTCCTACTACGAGCCCGTCCTCGAGCTCCGGAATTCGAAGACTGAGGTAGTCTTGAGAAAGACATACGAAAAGAAATGACTAAATTGAATACTCGTCCAAGTCGTCGTATACAGCGAGATCAGCCTGATCCTCGTTATCGATCGCGACTTCCGGATATGTCCACCTTTGAGACACCCGTTCGAGGAGTCTCAAACCGGTAGCGGATCGCGAGAGGATTCTGAGAAAGATACGCAACGAGCAGAGCTCGAACGAATGAACGCCCACCCCTCGAGGGTGCCTCTGAGGGGGTGAGCGTACGAGAGTGAGACGAAAGCCCAAAGCAACGTGTAAGACGCTTTCGCGTCCGAACACGTGGAAAGATGTGGGTCCGGATGTATTCGATATCCGACCCGAACGTGAGCGCCAAGCGCGAGTTGCCGAGAGAGGTCGCGCGAGTAGTCTCGAGCGCGAACTCACGAAGCAAATATTCGAGAGAAAAAGCAAGAAAAAGCAAGAAGATAGTATTGATGATGATCCGCCACCATGCGGTGGCCTCGTGAATATATACATAGGAAACGGAGTTCGAACCTAACTTCTACAACTATATATCTGAGTAGACCCGGGACAGCGGCCTGAGGGTGTAGTGTGGCCCGAGGCGCCACACGAGCGTTCACTTACTCCGATCGTGTGGCCCTCGACAAGAAACCAAGAA